CATCCTGAAGCTGTTCCCAACAGCAAGAACTCGGCGTGCTAAACTCGGACTTGGAAGGCTTCCATGTCTGATATTTGGTGCGAATTGTCTGTCCAAGACGACACGCCACCTCCTTTTTCTGCCGGCTGCTGAAGAGGAAGGCTTCATTTCTGTGGTTTTCTGAAAGACGGGCACATTTGCACCTCTCGGTGGCAGGACTGGCGAGAGGGCTCAGAAGGTTAACCAGCTTCCTTCTCCTCTTTCCAAACCTCCCCATTACCAAGCGAGCTCTTGCTCATTTACAACTGCTACAGTGTCACTGAACAAGAATGTTCCCCTAAATTCTCCAACATTCCTCAGCAGCGGCTGTTTTGCTAGACAAGCCTGAATTCTTTTGCTTTCTTAGGGACTGTCATTCAAACAGTGAAGTAACATTTTTATCTTTCCAGTTACATGTAAGCTGGCAAGAACTGACCCTTCCTCTCTTGGTTACTGATAAACCTTTACCAAGTAGGCTTAGAAACTAATTTCCATCTCATTGCAGATGCGTATATATTTACACACACATATATATGTACACATCCCTTATAGTTCCTACTATCACTAGCTTTCCGTATTTCCTAGAATCACAGAATGATTTAGGTTGGGAGGGACCTCAAAGATCATCTAGTTCCATCTCCCACTAGGTCAGGTCGTCCAGCCTGGCCTTGAACACTTCCAGGGATGGAGCATCCACAACCTCCCTGTGCCAGTGCCTCAGCACCCTCAGGGTAAAGAAATTCTTCCTTAAATCCAGTCTAAACCTATGCTCTTGCAGCTTCCACCCACCCTTGTCCTTTCACTCCAGGCCCTTGTCAAAAGTCCCTCCCCAGCCTTCTTGTAGCCCCTTCAGGCACTGGCAGGCCACTGGGTCTCCCAGAAGCTTTAATCTCTTCTCCAGGCTGAACAAGCCCGACTCTCTCAGCCTGTCCTCGCAGGAGAGGTGCTCCAGCCCTCTGACCATCCCGGCAGCCCCGCTCTGGGCTTGCTCCCACAGCTCCGTGTCTTTCCTGCGTTGGGGGCTCCAGAGCCGGGTGCAGCGCTCCAGGTGGGGTCTCGCAAGGGCAGAATCCCCTCCCTCGCCCTACTGGTCACACACCTCTTAAGGAAGCCCAGGACATGGTTGGCTTTCTGGGCCACAAGCGCACACTGTTGGCTCTTGCTGATCTTATCATCCAGCAACACACCCAAATCCTTCTCCCCTGGATTGTTCTCAATCCACTCCAGCCTGTACCTGTGGTTGGGATTGCCCTGACCCAGGTGCAGAACCTCACACTTGACCTTATTAAACTTCATGAGGTTGGCTTGGGCTCACGTCTCAAGCCTGTGAAGGTCCCTCTGGACGGCATCCCTGCCCTCCAGCACGTCGACCACACCACACAACTTTGTGTTATCGGCAAACTTGCCGAGGGTGTGCTTGATGCCTCCACATCGCTGACCAAGATGTTAAATAGTTTCAATTAAGACAGGTTGGGATAAACCAGATAACGCAGCAACTCGTAGGAGAAATGCTGGAGACTGAGGTGTGGCAACACCCTCACACCACCTGCGTTTTAAAACATGATTTAGCACTTCCCCTCGCCAGCCAGCGTGGCCAAACACTCAAGGTGTGTCCCTGTGCTGCGTCGCCGGTTCCTCAGGAGAACGCTCAAGCTGCAATGCAGAGCCCAGCTCAGACGTGACAGAGATCGATAGCTCCAGCTTCACGTCTAACTCCCCTGGATCTGAGACAGCTCCTGCAGTGACACTGTCTGTGAACTGACCTTGCAAGGCAGACACAGCACCGAATCTGCCTAAACACCGACGTCTCCCGCCGCGCTCCTTGAAATCAGCCCAGCGAGCTGGTGCGGCCCCGAATCCATGAAGAATAAGTTTGGGACAGGAGGAGCCAGAGTGTGGCATCACAACTGGAGTCCTGCTAACACAGCAGGAAAATTCCTCTCTGCAGCGTGTTCCTAAAATACCAGATCTGCTTCCATGTGGATGTGTGGAACTCCACTGGGGCTCGGGAGTTTAATTTCTGGGATATGCAAAAGAAAAAGGCTCTTTGTTCTTTTTTTTCCAAACCAGAGATGCCCCAGTTATGATACGGCTGCACCTGACGACGCCTAAACCAAACCTCATCCTGTGTCGCAGCACAGCGAGTCCACAAGCCAGATAAACCAGTTCCTGTGCTGGAGAAGAGGACAGGAGGACAAAGTGTTTGGACTGGTTTAGTATCAAACGTTTCGCTGCAACTCAGAATTTTGCTTCCTTCAAACGTTCAGCAAATTCCTGC